CAATACCAATACCAATACCACCCAATACCAATACCAATACCAATACCAATACCAATACCACCCAATACCAATACCAATACCAATACCGATACCAATACCACCCAATACCCAATACCACCCAATACCAATACTACCCAATACCAATACCACCAATACCAATACCAATACCCCAATACCATATTGGTATTGTGACATCACTATTAGTGATGCCAGGAAACGTTCTGAATATTTAGGATTCACCTGTAAAAAACACTTTCTCTGTAAGTTGTAGACTTTTTCATGCTGTGTCGTTCTGTACACATATCATTTACTATATTATACACTACGAGAAGAAAAATCTTCTCTTATTTCAGAGTTGCATATTTTCAGTAAGGTAACATGAGCTATAGTTAATTAAAAAATATGCAACAACGTTACTAATGTGTACAGAAGAAAATTAAAAAAAAAAGATGACAGATGAAAATGGTGGTGAGAAAAAGGTAAATTAATTATTTATGAGCATTTTCTAAGTTAAGACGTGTATCATAAGTTTGAAAAAAAAAACTTTTTTTCTGATTAACAGTATGCCGGAGAAGAAAACAACGGCTTTCTAAGTATTAATTTATTTCTTAGAAAAAAATTTCCTTGCATGCAATGCTTTTTTTTATTTAAATTATTGTTTTTACTAATTTGCCAACAGAAAAAATGAACGATTTTTGAAATATGAAACGTATAGAATCAATATTTCTGATTTATTTTATTTTTCGAACAGAAAATGAATGAATTCTTACCGATGAATATTCTCCTATTCAGTTAGATGCAATACAGAAATTTATATTATTTTGCTCCTATATAAATTGATTAGATCGTTTACTTCATACAGATTTTGTTTCTTCGTTTTTTTTGAATATGATGAACAATGTATGTGGACATAATTTTGTTAATCGAATGAATATGTTAAAATTGTTGACAATACACTTAATTTATTTTATTTTAACAATAAGAAAGTCACAAATGTTGATATTTAAAATACTTTTTATGATGTTTTACTAAGAGCACTATTTGTAATTATTTCCGTATCTATTATTTTAAAAAGGTAGTGTCTTTTTTTTCTTTTCTTTTCTTTCCACTCATATGTCCAATAACCAGTTGTTTCAATGGAAGGTGAATGATATATACGGTAGTAGACAAGTTTTTTTTTTATTTCTTTTCTTTCCATGAAAAAAAGTCTGTTTAAATAGCTAAACTAGTGAGTAGTATTATATTTCTTTTTAAAGATAGATTAATCGTTTTTACGGGTTGAGGAAAGTCTTTTTTTGTCAAACAATGCAAATTTTTGTGAAAATTTTAGCTTGTATGAAAAAAATGGAGGTCTCTTACATTCTAAATACCAATATTTATAGATTGAATATCAAATAAATCTTCCAAGGGAATATGTATGATGTTAAGCTAGGCTAAGATAATATATTCATTAGACTCAGTTTTATTAGATAAAATGTTTCAGTCGATCTAGACAGATAGATATGTTGATATATTTGTTATTAGTATCAGTAATTATATAGTTTCTTGAAATTAATCTTTTTTAATACATTTTACTTTTTCTTTTAGAAAAGAAATAGTTTTATCTTCAAAAATACGGTCTTTCAATACTTCTATTCTCCGTCTGTAATAAGAATTTGAACAGGTAAGAAATGATTGATATTAAAATTAATATTGTGATGCACATATAAATATTCTTTACATTGTTTTATTTAAAATTATAACAAATGTAGGTTTTAAGCGGAGTTGCCAAATCCAAGTTTTAGAAATCAGGAGTTTTTCGTTAAAAAAAAGGAGTTGATCAGAAGATTTTCATTAAAAAATAAGGAGAGTTTTTTCTTTAAACCAGAAGAAAAATACAGCAGTGCCACGCACTTTTTCCATAAAAGCAAAGCTTTTTATTCTCAAATGTTTACAGTTTTGATTCTTAATAAGTGATTTAATAAAACGATTTATCTTACTGAGAAAAACAAAGAAGCACATAGAGATAATTACACATCGTTTATTTTACTAATTATTTTGAAGCAGTACATTGAAAAATATAAATAAAACTGATATAAGTGTGTCTTAAGAAATTGCCGAAGAATCAAAACAGAACAGAGTAAAGCACCTACATCCTTTTTTGATATTATTGCTATACGTTTGTAACTTTCTTCAAAGTGAATTTGTTTGTTTAACAATTCTACACTATTTCACAGATTTACTCATTTTAATTTTAAGCTTGACATTCATTTAGATTATTTTTTCATTCTATTCCTGTTATCATATCGTCAAAATTTTGTGTAGTTGAAACTTTGACTGATGATTAGTTCATTAAACTCATTATTTATTAGTCCATAGTAGCACTTGAATCGAATCTAACCAGATCGACCGGCCCATAGAAATGGAAATTTTACGAATTGGGATTTTTCGATAGTCTCTTCTTTGTCGATTATGTTTTTGGCGATAAAAAAACCTAATATAGCGTACATATTACTGGTAGAGTTGGTAAAATAAGATACAAAACACAGGTTATCTAATTATTTATTGTAATGCTCAGTTGAAAATATGATTTTGTTGCATATACCATATATGCTCTCCGAAAGTATATCCTCGCACAAAACTCTTATCTCTATTTGTTTC